CATTCTCCCGTTTTTTTAAGCTTATTCTTACGACACGAAGTATCTAGTGGCCAATTTTTCCCTCTCTCTTTGGAATGGATGGAACGTTGATTTTTCTTTCACTGTCTGACGAACAACAATTTTCTTGCTCGCTCTCGCTGAATTAATTAACACGCCGAAGAACTGCTCCTGGAAACAGTCTCTCGCGTATTTTTGATGCTTTCGCAAATGTATAATTAATCAGAGGGGTTTCGCTACGCGATTCACCGAGTTATTCGCACGTTTTCACAGTTTGTCGTGAATTTTCTGGCGTCTTTCGTCCTTTATTTCGTTCAATTAAAGTCTTCGAGGTAGCATGGACAAACCGGTTCTAACGAGCGAGAATATTGATAGAAAATAGTAGTAGGGAAAGATCGGAGTAATTGGCCCGCGGTAAAGAAAGAAGCTCAATTCGGCCTCCCAGAAATCTTTCTTTTTTTTTTTTTTTCACGACTTTCAACGGGAAGAATCGTAAGAAAGAAAGAAAGGAGAAAAACACGGCCATGAATGTTGGTCGTCGTGGTATTGTCCCGAATATCGGAAACTGGTTCGAGAGGCCGAAACTTGAGACCAGCGGAGACGGGTAAAAGCGAGAAGAAAGTGGCAGATATAGTGGCGGCAGGTGATCCGATAAAGGTACCTGCCACGTACACGTACGTACATAATGGAAAGACCATGGAATTTATCTCCATGGGATGATCTAACCGACCTGAATAGTTCGGCGTTCGGCAAGGTTAGGTCGGCGTTGCACCTCTTTGAAAAAGGTCGAGCCACCAAGGGGTGAGTCATGGTGTGGTGGACGCGCGGCGGTGGTGCGTTTTTCATCTATCGACCTGCGGCACAGAAAACGCAGGATTGGTCGTGGGGAAACTCGGCGAGGACCGATTCGCTGGTGTACAACCGTGTACATACACAACAACACGGAGCGGCTTTACTCGCTGGAAATCGATTCTAGATAATGGCCTGTAATTTCATTCGCGTCCCACCGACTGATAATCGAATAACTTGGGCTTCCACGTTGAAGCTCTTCGGCCAGATCGACGAGTGTACGCTCCTCGAAATTTAGCTCTACGCTCTTGTGGACTTTCTCTGTTTTACCATTGGCTGATGCTAGCCAATTTTCTTTTTTTTTTTTCTTTTTTTTAAATCATTAATTAATTAAACAATGAAACTGAACCGAAGCAATAAATGCATATCCGTGGAATAAGATTTTCTACGATTTCCTTCAACGTGGATACTTGTTCTTCGTTCGAGGCGCAATATCCTGTTTCGAACATGAGGTATTTCCTTCAAGTCGTTTTACGTAATATTCGTGTTTTCTCCGATAAACGACGAGGCCTAATAATTAGTCGAGAAAATAAAATCGGCGTGAAAATAAAATTGGTCGTCGGTCAAGATAGAGCGGCGAGGAAAAAGGTAAAAACGAATAAGTTTTCCTGTTTCCTGTACGTTCGAAAGTCGGAGTTCGACTATCACCTGCGTTACTGGTTCTCCGTTATTTAGTTACCGATTGCCCCGGTTACGGCGTCAATCGCGTACAGTTATCACAATGAGAAAGTTGCGAGCCGTTCGGGAAACTTGCGTTTTAGCTGGTAAAATCGTTGGCGGATCTACGATCGACTCCGCGATATGTGACTTGAGGTATCTGACTTGTGTATCGGTGCCAAGTATCAGCGTATCGGTATCATCGCTCGTCTGCATTGCTACTCGTGCAAGTATCATGTTATACTTGATTGATCAGCTTGGTCGCCTGGATTGCGACGACAAACAAGAATATCCACGGCTTGTCTCGAATCAATATCGCAAAGACTCTTGCCTCTTCCTCTGCTAAATTTTCTAACTTTATCTCTTAGATTGGAAAGTTACGTGTCCGAAATACTCGAGCCGCTCATTCGCCAAATCGTCCACAAAGCAAAAAGTACAGAATCGATGAAGTAATTGTGTATGTATCTTTTTTAAAAATTCTTTTTCAAAATTTAAACTTATAAATAAACGTTGCGGTGCATATCACTACAGGAGAAAATGTATAATCGAGATAACGTAGATATAATCTCGAAGTAATCACGTTGGTTTCAAAGACATTTTTGTCGTTATTTGGTGATGTTAATTATTAAGGAAATTTATTTTAAATAAAGTTAAGTATCAACTATTTTGACACGAAAATTTAAAAAATTCGAAAAATGTAGCTAATCACTATAAACGGCTTCTATATTGCTAAAATATAGAATACTGATACTAATAAAATACTAAATAATTTATAATGATTATTAGGTTTCAAATTCAAATAAATATCTGCAATTAATCGATAATCTTTTTCTTTTACAAGTAAACAAAATCCTGATTATAGGGAATGAATTAATCTGGTAAATAGATTACTAGAGAATGGATTACTAGAGACATTAGACGTAAAGTAGCATAAAATACGGTTTGAAACTACACAATTAATCTAGTAGTCTGCTCATTAGTGCGAGAGTGAGAATTTGTGTGGATGAAAAGCGATTGAGAATCGAATGGGTATTTGCAGTAGAGATTCGAAGAAGTGCTTGTTAAATTATTGTGAATGGTGTACGATACGGTACGATTAGAAAGCAAAGAGAACAGAATTATTAAAGAGTTAAAAAGAATCGAATCGGGTTGATCGAGACTTCTTACGGTGTTGAATTACTGCTGTTATTTCTATTATACCGTTGAATGGAATTTTTACGTCGATTTAAAATACTTGCGCTTACAGAACGATATTATTACGATATACCTTATTGCGTATTGTAGCGTGTTTAGAAGATATAAACGCAACGAATGGATATTAACGCCGATTAATTAAGCGTGAAACGTATGATTTGGTAACTCGCTACATTTCTCTACCTTCCGCCAGAAGTTAATTACTCTAAATGCATTCAGAAAGACCTCGTGCACGTCAGCCAGACACATCCTGGACACGCGTGACATCGAGATGCGTCACGAGATCTCGTCCGTTTTTCCTTTCTTTCTTCTTTTTTTTTTTTTTAATCCAACAGGTTTTCAGATGGATTCCGAGAAAGGAAAGAGCTGCACCGATCGGGCCGCGTCTCACGACCGGTGCGTGGCCCTTGAATGGCTACTTGTTGGAAATGAAAGTAACGCGTTTCGAATGCCAGAGCATAGGCGACTCGGCTCGGGCTTCCCTCTCGTTCTTTTCCATTCTCTTTCCCCGAAGCGAAACGTTGCCGCTGTGTGTACTAGTGTGTGTGCAGGTCGATCTGTCCTTAAGCCGCGACTAGCGTGAAAATGTTGAAAGACAGGATCGTCCTTGAACGATAAAGCTCCCATTCCGTAACTCGCTGCGCGCGAATGTCGTTTTCTTTCATGTTTCCCAGAACCTTGAGCAATTCGCCGTATCCCGGCGCTACTGTGGGCTTCGACTCTCTTTCGGGTCATCGCGCGAAGCGAATGAGAATTTCCAGAATGTCGTGAATGAATCAGACTTTCGATTGATGCGCGAACGAAGGGATCGTAAAATCGGTGTCACGTCTGGTTACACGACGATACCACGTTTACCTCGAATTCACCGTCGTTGAAAAACACTCGTAACACGTTGAAGCATGTAAAATAGGATACTAGTCTATAGATGGCGCCATACGCTACCTAGTGTACAATACGATTTACGATCTCACGTTTTATTTCTTTTGTCGATCGCATCGATCATCGTCTTTGTACGAAACGCTCTCCATTCACGAGGGCTCGGCCGGTATAAATGTGAATGAAAATTCGTCAGCGGAAGAAAGAGCAGGTCAGGGTTGTTGCGAACTCGCAGAACTCGGATAAACCTGTGGGTTTCTCACCTGATCCTGACGAGTGTTCAACCAGTAACTGGAGTATCGCAGAGAGTATTCGTTGCAGCAAATGGCCAACAGAGTCCAGTTTCACTTTTCGTGCCGAGCTGCTAAACGGCCAGAAATCTTTCTAGCCGGCAGCCTTGCGAAATCTCTCATTGTCCCGAGGAGGACGACGCGTGTATGTATGCCGAGAGGTTTTCTCAGTCGCGTCGATCGCGATGAATACACGTAGTACCGTATGTACATGGAACACCGGTCGAGTGTGCACATCGTCGCCGTTCGACCATATCTCTCTCTCCGCGAGCAAAAATTCTCTCTTTTTCCCTTTCCTTTTGGCAGAACGGCGTTAGAAAACTACAGAGAAATGTGCGTAAAACGCCCATAGTTCCTGCATCGATTCGAGAGTTTTTCTTCTGTCCTCTCTCCTCTTAGAAATTTTAAATAGTTATGCTTCTATTGTACTTCAACGAACAGAGGATTGCGAAACAATCGGGCGAATGAAATTGAGATATGCTGTTCCATTCTGTTGGCTGCTAATTTCGTATTTTCGTCTTTTTATAATAGACTTTCATCTGTCATTTATTAATCAGAGATTGATATTAATTTTGCAGAGAAGATAAATTGCTCGCTTGAAAGATATTAATAGTTCTGTTTTCTCCAATTACGTCTAAAATTTGACAACGTGGACACAAGTTTTCTTTAAAAGTGACTTGTACCAAACATATTTTTCGTATTAAAATCTTTAATCTACGGAACAATTTAGTTACAATAACGATTGCATTACTGTTTCTGTCGGTTAATAGTTTTAACAACGAAAGGATATTTCTGATGAAAGATGATTCACATTGATTGGCTTCAGGGCCCTCCATATAATACGGTACGATTCATACGGAGCTGATTCATTAGTTTTAGCGGTAATTAGGCGACAAATCCGTCTCTGTCAAAATAAATGTATTGATTCGCTGCCATTTTAGAAGAGTGATTTGAAACACTGACAATTTTTAAATATTAAAGCGAACGCAAAATACGCAAAATATGGCGAATTAATGAAAACGCGTGCTCGTGTGAATCTTAAAAAAAAAATATATATATATATATATATTAGCCTTACAACTGCAAGAAACTTGCAAGCAAATAATTCACTAATCGTGCTTCCATCTTCTTGTTGCAGGACCAGTACGAGAATCTATCCCTGCACACACAAAAAGGGATAGAGTTCCTCGAAAGGTATGGCCATTTCATTCGCGACAGATGCGCCATCGAGGTGGAATATGCTGCCAAACTCAGGTAAGAGATACTTGGATGCATCAAGGAATGTTTCTCGATATCTCGTGCATAGATTTTTCGCGAGATTTATCGTCGGTGGCTGTCTCTGTTTCCACCGCGAAGCAAGCCTCTCTTTTTGTTACGTAAATTAACGAAGGGCGTAGTATCCGAGGTTAACGATTTCAATAGGACATCCTGTATAATGAGCGTGTCTCACGCACCCCACGAGTTCACGGACACAAGATGTAGCCAGTAATATTGTATTAAAGGGCCCCCTTGTTTGTTCCGTGAATGCTGTCTACTGTTGCACACTTTTGTTCTATCTGGTGTCTCTCGAAACCAGCTTATTTTCTCCCCTCCCCGTCGGTATGATTTAATGAAAATAATACAATAAGTAGACTAAGCGGATGTTTGTGCATACGTGGAAAATTTCAGAACGTACAAAATACCCGAAGACAAGCTGCACGTTTACAAAATGTAGCTGTAACAACCGAGGAACAAAAGATAATAACGTAGACTAATTTCATTGTTTGACTAATCATTTGTTGCAAGAAGAGACGATTCGAAACAGCAGAGCAATTTGAAGTATTAATAGGATTAAAATTTGAGATGTTCATTACGATGTTTCAAGTATTCCATTGGTCTCTTCTGGCTTGCTGGCTTATTGAGAAATGGAGAATCTGTGGCGAGGGCTGCTGTATGATGATATCTTCTGAATCTGGGCAAAATTTAATTGCCGCGAACGGTTATCGTTGTCTTTTAATCAGTTGGCGCATCTGATGCCTGGAGAATGATTCCGCGTGCCTGTCACACATCTATCCGAGACACGTTCGTTCCGCTGCATATAAATTATCACGGGCACGTTCCTCGCCTTAATGCGCCGTAATTTCTGCGATACATGCTCGTGTTACTCGTACCAAATGGAGTACCGTTTTACCGCGCGGCAGTTTTCCTTCGATGCACCGTTGATTTTCATTAAAAGCATTCCGAACACTCTGCAAAATACGGTTATATCCTTTAAATCGTGCGCGAGTTAATTTCTTCGGAGTTTCTCGGTCAGTTGGAGAAGTTCGGTGCAATGCACGACGAACTATCATACACTAACCCAGATCTAGAAAGAAAAGCCAAGAATCGTAAGGATTGTCTCATTAAGCCTCTTCTCTTTCGCCATAGTAACGCGAACGTAAGCGATTACTCGTCTTGGAAATAGATTCATCAAATTTTCTTTTAACCAGAGCCATGATGTTAGAACGTTGATTAGTTCGAATGTGCTTTCGTCAAACTTTGATAACGACCTAGACCTAGAGAAAGGGGGAGGGGGGGCTATCGATTTGGAAATAGCTTTCCCAATTTTTGAACAGTAATCCAGACATAGGAAGAATTTGACACGAGTACGCACGTATTTGGACTTGCCTTCTAGTTTACGATTCCCGTTTCTCGGTATTTTAGAAATCAGTGGCCGTTTTCGCGAACCGTTTTTCCGGCCTCATACGTGAAACGTATGGTTGATCTGGTATCAAGGACACGTCAACTTCCGGATGATAATGCATTTACCAGCCGGCACACATTTATTGCTCGCTCGTGGCCCGAATGTTCAAATTAGAATGACTCGGTCGTTGGTATTTCTTGCTGCACGAGTGACTAAATCCAATCTGTGTATGCAATGTCCGGAAAACGTTCAGCTTTGTTGCTCTACGTGAAACACGAGCTTGATCGCCGTTTTATCGTGCAGCTTTATAACATTCCGTGAGACTTCTTTTTCCTTGCGCGAACTACACGGTGTTGTTAACAACATTTCAGAAATAATTTTAAACCGCTAGAAAAGGACGAACTCTATTTAAATTGTGGATTCTTTTTTTTTTTTCTTCTTTTCTCTTATTTTTACACCAATCAGAGGTAAATTATTTCCCTTACTAGGAGATCTTGAGTCGTTGCATTTGTTGCAACCAGGTTACACGTGCACTGATAATCTGTTTTCGTTTCTGATTTCAGACGTCTCGTGAAGAGCTATCAACCTAAGAAGAAGGAGGAGGAGGATTATCAGTAAGTATGAGCCAACTCAGAGGCGTAATACCGGATCCACGCTTCGTAGTAATGTTCTCCGACATGAATAATGCTTCAAAATAATTCCTACTTCAAAATACGGTCTGTCTATTTTTTCCTCCCTCTTCTATTTCTCTTTTCTCTTTGTCGCGTGTAAATTATATTTTAGTAGGTCGTCCAGAGTCAGAGGTGTAAATGTTAAAGAATGTACTCGTTAAAGAATATATATTTCCTCTGTCTTTTCCAAAACGACTTTTCTACCTGGCATCTAGCCAATTTGTTTATATCATTAGGCATTTCGCGAACATCATCAATCCTCGATGCTTATTCCTCGTAAAAGCAATTCTTAAGAAACTTGTATGCTCTTTGGACTTTCAATTAGAACGCGAACACGGCGCCTGGAATGAAGAAAAAGAAGAATTCTCGAGGGCCTTTAATATTCGTAGCGCGACAGAAAACAGTAGCTAATCTCTTATCTGGGGGCGTAGGTAGATTGCTATAAGTTCAGTCAGCAACTTGCTCGTCATCGCGCTTAAAGACTTGCCCCTCTTTTCATGCCGCGGTTCGTCCCGCGTCATATTCATTTACATAGATAGAAGATTTATGTACGATCACCCGTGTTGTATAATTAAACAACGATGTGTACGAACTTTGACCGCAGGTATAGTCCATGCCGAGCGTTCAAAATGGAGCTGAACGAGGTAAACGATCAGGCAGGACAGAGGGAAGTAATCGCGGAGAATTTACAGGCAAACGTGCTAAGGGAATTGAATATTCTCGTGAAGGATTTCAAGGAGGATCGTAAAAAGCATCTTCAGGAAGGCGCCAGATTGATGGCGAACCTGACCGGTCAGATTGGAAATCTGGAACGTGCTAGGAAGGCCTACGAAAAAGCTTTCCGCGAAGCGGAAAGAGCAGTGGAGAATTATCAGAGGGCAGACGCCGATTTGAATCTTTCGAGAGCGGAAGTAGGTGGATGAGGTTGATTTTTCTCCTACCTTCGTCCTACCCGAAATATTTCGACCTTTAACCTGGCTATGCTAGCTTTTAAAACATTAAACAATATGAAACAAATGTGTAAATCTGTAGTACGAAGTACATGTAAGTTTGTGTAAATTTCAAGTGATTTGTTTTATGCTCAGGTCGAGAAGCAGAGGATGAACATGACTTTGAAAACACAGCAGAGCGAGGAAGCGAAAACCGAGTACGCGAATCAGTTGCAGAAAACAAACGACATGCAAACGCTACATTATCACACGGCCATGCCAGAAGTATTCCAACACCTGCAGGTAAATTAATTATTAAAGCATGATAAATTGTTCGCACATGTATGTAGTATCAAATCCAGCAGTTCCATTCTCTGAAGATTTGTTCAATATTCAACACCCTATATGCCTTGTTGCAGGAGCTCGATGAAAAAAGAATAAAAAATATGCGAAACTATATGCTGAAATCCGTAGAAATAGAACGAGCAGTGGCTCCGATAATCGCTCAATGTTTAGATGGTATTGAGAAAGCGGCAAATGAGATCAATGAAAAAAAAGACACATTATTGGTAATCGAACGTTACAAAAGCGGCTTCCAGCCACCGGGAGATTTTCCATTCGAAGACCTTTCCGTAGCAAAAACGTATGATAGCAATAGTCAGCTGTCACAGCCGGTGATGCAGCCAATACACAATCATCACTTAACAGCGAAGGGTACCGTTTCCGGTAGTAAAATCAAGAAGAGAGTTGGTCTATTCGGAATATTCAGTAGCAATAAGGTAAATGTTGTATGTAACATTTTAACATAGCGTAGCTCTTATTTGTGCCATAAATATGTTTGTAACTCAAGCATTTGTTTATGTTTTTTTTTTCTCTTATTCTCTCCAAAAATGTAAAAAAACATCAGAAAATAGAACGAAAGATAGTACATATTACAATATGCACGAAAGAAAGTAACCATTATCCTTTTTTTTTTTAAAGTGTTATTCGAAATGCATTTCCATATCATTCAGCCTGAAATGTGCTCACAGATCTTGTACAGCATGAGTGATTCGTATAATTTCTAGTTTTTTTAAACGATTGTGTTTCCATGTATTTTTTTTTTTTTTTTTTTTTTTTTTTAATTATGCAATGTATTATTTCATTTGAAGTTTCGTTTTCATCTCATGCAATCAAGCAAAAAAGACACATCAGATCAGACATCACATTCATTTCATTTTAGTTCGACCGTTAATTTAAAATAGCGTTAATTTTCGCGTCGCCAGCATAACTTATCTTTCTTCTGTACTTTTTATTAATTTGGTGGATGGTTCAATCTGCCTGTGTGGTCTCTTGTTTCCAATCACCCGTGGACTATGAATTTGGATACTGTTGTACTTAGTAAGTACACTACGACTCGCTTGTTTGCCTGCTATTATGTAACATCAGCATTTTGTTTTGCATCGAGATATATATCAATAATCGTATTGTTTGTTAACTGTGTCTTATTTGCCGAGTACAAACTCAGACATCGTTGAAGCAGTAAACATTCTATACTTTTCACATGGTACTATGGCGCGATATTTTC